CACCCTAGATGAGGACTAGGGAAGACGGGGCTCGGATCCCCTCCCCGAGCCTAGGGTAACTATATCTGTGGGGGGACCCCCGTTGACTTCCTAGTAGACACGGGGGCACAACATTCAGTTCTGAAGCAGCCCCTAGGGAAGATTAGCACAAAGAAGTCAGTGGTGCTAGGGGCTACTGGACAGAAATTCTGCCCATGGATCACGGAACGGACTATAGAGCTAGGAAAAAATCAAGTGACTCACTCTTTTCTTGTTATACCAGAGTGCCCAGCCCGACTCTTAGGAAGAGATCTCCTAACTAAACTGAAAGCCCAAATTCAGTTCACTCCAAGGGGGCCTGAAGTTACCTGGGAAAGCAACAAGCCCAGCACTCTAGCCCTATTAGTTCAACTAGAAGAATATAGGCTCCATGAACCAGAGACAGAGGCTAAAGATTCGGACCTCATAGATTGGTTAAAAGAATTCCCAGAAGCCTGGGCAGAAACAGGGAGGTTAAGAAAATTAAAAGCGGATGCCTCCTTGGCAGCCCCCCTGTATCCTCTAACCAGAAACCAGGAACAATTCACCTGGAATCTTGAACATCAGACGGCCTTTGAGGACATTAAGAAAGCCTTGCTTTCAGCTCCTGCCCTCGCCTTGCCAGACCTGACCAAGCCATTTAACTTATACATAGATGAAAGAGGCAGGGTGGCTAAAGGTGTGTTGTCGCAAGCTTTGGGACCTTGGAAACGGCCAGTGGCCTATTTGTCCAAGAAACTAAATCCAGTGGCCAGTGGTTGGCCAGTCTGCCTGAAGGCCATTGCAGCTGCTGCGGTCCTAGTAAAAGATGCAAACAAATTGACCATGGTGCAGCATATCACTATCATAGCCCCTCGTGCATTAGAGAGCATCATTTGACAACCACCTGACTGATGGATGACTAATGCCCGCCTGACTCACTATCAGAGCCTACTCCTCACGGACAGGGTGGCCTTTGGAGCCCCAGTCATCCTAAACCCGGCGAACCTACTGCCTGCGGAAGGGGACCCAGAACCCTGCCATCGCTGCGATGAAATTTTAGCAGAAGAAACCAGCACCCGGAAATACCTAAGAGACCAGCCTTGGCCCGGGTGTCCAACCTGGTTCACTGACGGCAGCAGCTTCATCAAGAACGGTAAGCAGGTCGCCGGGGCGGCAGTAGTAGACAGGAAGAGAGTTATTTAGTCCGACAGCTTATCTGAAGGAAGCTTCACACAAAAAGCCGAGTTGATAGCCCTCACTCAGGCATCGAAACTAGCAGCAAGAAAGGAAAGAAATCAAGAATAAAAAAAAAAAAAAATTCTAGAACTGTTAGATGCTATACACCTGCCAAAGAAAGTAGCCACCATGCACTGTCCAGGACACCAGCGAAGTCAAGATGTTGTAGCTAAAGGGAACCGGATGGTGGACGAAGCTGCCAAGTCAGCAGCAGAGAGAATCCCAACATTAGCTACTAACATCTGTGAACTCTGGTGGCTCCCAACGTCCGATATTAGTTTTCAGTATTCTGAAGAAGATGAACAGGAACTGTCTCGCTTAGGATTGACCAATAAGAACTCAGAAGGAGCTATAATAGACCAAGAGAACAAAAAAGTTCTTCCTCAAAAAGAAGGTAAAGAATATGTAAAACAAA